TTTTGCTCCTGTGTTGACTTTCACATCAGACATGTGACTTTGATGTTGTTGCTTCTATTTTTCTCCACCTCTGTTATGTGTCTGCAAGGGTGAGCATAGAGGCAGGGGATCAAAGAGCATATAAGAATGACACTGTTGCAAGGTAACAAACCTCCAGAATTGAGCTGATTGTGCATGCATGTGGTCACACAGCTCGTGTGGCACATCCCACTATTAAAAGCTCCAATGCACTGGTCTGTGAAGTGATTTTATTTTATTTATTTTTTTTGGGGGGGGGGGGGGTCATTGTGCTCCTCATCATGATCACTAAAATAACTATATGCATGCACTTCTAAAACTGAGATAGCTTCCAAGACGAAGTGTTTGACATAAGCCAGTGACTCAGAAGCAAGCAAGAGCTGTTGGATAGTGAAGAGAACAGTATTTGGTGGATATTTTCTTCCTTTATGATCACAGATACACAAAGAAATAGACAGAGGGGTGGAAGCTGGAATGACAATAAAGATTCCTGGTTGGAACTGGGAATTTTCTAGTCTACATCACAGGCAGCATGGTTTAGTCCTGGTCCAGAGGGCTCCTTACTAGAAAATGTCTGTGGTGTACAATTATGTTGCTTGGTTACTCTGAAAGGAGGAGAAAGAAGAAATTGAGCTACCTTGTGTTTATTTAGTTGGATGTTTGGTAAGTTTCAAATCATAATGTGGAAAAAGTCTGATTAAACAGTCACAGTTGTATTCAGTAACCTCTTCCCTAATTAACTCTGCTACCGCTGGCTCTGCAGAGATGATGGGGAAAAGAGGCCAGGAACAGAAAAGGTCAGGTGACTTTGCTCCTCTTCATCCATCTTTGAAAAATATGTGAGATGAAGCGAAGAGGGAGGGACCGGCAAAGAGCCTGGGCATGAAATTGTTGCAAGGTAATGAAGCTGCATGCACATATATGTGTACATGGAGCTCGTGCAGAATTTATATCAATTAACTGCTTCACTGCCTCCTCTGTATACACAAAGGTATTTACTTTTACTTGTTGTGGTAGCCTAATTGTATTCCGATCAATAATGCAAACACATCGCCACCGGGAAGTGTTGCTGTAGATTGACCTCCATTGTGTGGGCATGTCATGACAGAAGGAGAAAGGGGTGAAAAAAACCTTTTTGCACTTTTACAAAAGAATGAATAAAAGAGTAGGACTTTTCTTCTTTGACATTTATATGTTCTATATATACATATATATGTATATATGTATATGTAATACACGTTAATTTCAACAGACCACACAAAACTCCAGTGTTCTGAAGTAAGAATAAGGTACAGTGTAATTCCACTATAATGAGTATCTTAGATTGATAACTTATTGCCTTCTTTAATTTCTATGACACATGGATATCTGCATATTGTGCTTTGTTTCCTGATATCATGCACAGTCACCACTACAGTGTAGAAATCGCTCTACAACCAATCAGCATAATGATTTGCTTGAGAAGCTACACAATCATGGCTTGCTGAGGGAAACATGGCTCAAGTCCTCAATGTTGTCTGGTTTCTGCATTTGTCATAAGTGGAGTGCAAAGAAGCTAAATGCGGCAAACGACACTGAGCAATCTTTTTAATCCTACAGTGTTGCTTACCAGGAACTTTAGCCAACATTGCATTTACTGTTTCAGTCATTTACAGTCTGTAAATTTACAGTCTGTAAATGACTGAAAGTCTGAATTATAGCAGAATAATATCTTCTCTCAGCAATGCTGGATCTTCTATCTCTTTTGTTGGACAGAGAGCAGAGTAGAGGCTACATTAATTGACTTTCATTAAGTTCAAAGCAATATTACAAGGGATCAAGTCAAGGCAAGCTGGTTAGCATGCTAAAAGTAGTAGAGATCACTGCATTACATCATAGATGTTAATTGTTTACATTTGGTTAATGGTTTAACCAAATGTAAACAATTAGTTTTGGCTATTTTTGTTTTAGTTTTTCCTTTAATGCTTTGAACAAAGGAATCGATATTTTTTTTTTTAAATCTGGTGGAAAAAACCCAACAACTTCAAAGCTGCAGCCCTTAGCTTCATCAAATCATATCCCCAGTGTCGCACATAATTCCATCTAGTGACATGTTCTTTCATCCTTCCATGAATTGTGGGAAATATAGTTTATTTTATTGTTCTATTGTTACCATCCTGCTCCCCAAAAACACTCCCTAGTGTGTACTAAACTACACAATATTCCTTACTTTAAAAAAGTATAACTCCCTTGCAGTTGTATGCTTGCCGTCTAAGTGAATGACCAGGAGGTACAGTTGATTTTCATACAACAGAAAGTTTTAACCATGGCAGGTTTAAAATTTGAATGTAATTGCAAAGATATTAGGCAGTGGATTCTTCACACACTCTCCACAGTTTTCATTGTCACCAGTCTCACAACGAAATTTACCTTTGACTTTTCAGATATTAATATCATCATCGATTTATCCAATCGGACATTTTTGTCAAGTTTTATTATCACTGCTGCATACCTCCTGAGCCCTCAGAGGCCTGAACTTTGGATTTTGACCACCCAAATACAACCAGCTCACCCATGAAGCCCTGTGATTATGTGTGTCAAATTCAAAATTCCTTCAATACCTCTTTTTTTCATGAAAATCTGCTGGCCAGAGTAGCCAAAAACATAATACCCCATCACTGGCTGTTGCCAGCACAGAAGCGTGATAAGGTGAGTTGAACAAGGACACGTGGGCTTTGTGGTAAAACCACAGCAAATGTGATCCCACATTTTGAATTTAAGCTTTGAAATTTGCCAGACATTTAGGTGGTAGATATGTGATGTGAAACTGAGAGCAAAAAATAGACGATTGTGTGCATGTGCATAATGGACTCTGAGAGACACAGAATGAGTGAGTGGGGCTGTTGGCCTCTGTCCTTGGTGAGTAATGACCACAGAGGAGGACAGATGATCATGTTCATCAGCTCCCAGAGCTGAGGCTACCAGCCCCCCTGCTGGGGAGGATCAGTCAGGCTGATGGGCCATAATCTGTGTGTGAGTGTGTGTTTATACGTATGTGTGTGCGCGAGCTTGTGGTCGAGTAGAGAGAGCAGAAATAGCGAGGGGGCTGGGTGAAAACTGCGATGATGATTCTTACCGCGTATTATGAAGCATATAGGAGGAAGAATGTACACTGTACTGTGTTAGAGTGTGCTTGCATACAATTGCACGAAAGGGGAGCTTATGTGTGTGCACGCTATTAAAAGTACTTACATTTATTAGAGAGCTGCTTTATGTCTGGCAGTTGCAGGACTTGCTTAAGGGGGAAATTAGGTGTGCTGACTACCCTTTTAATTACCATGTCATTAAAGTTTGAAAAGTAGCTAAATAGCCAAGGTTGGTAGTATACACTGAAGAGCTGCAAAGTGGTGGATATCACTGAGGCATTTCTATAGGCTGTTTACTTTTTTTCCCACTTACTTACTTATTTATTTTCAGCTTCTGGCTTCAATTTTGAACTCTGAAATCAGGTTTTATGCAGCTATAATTTCAGTTTAAGTAAGTGACAAAATGAGTGATTCTACCTAGAACAGTTAGACATGTAAATGAACAAGATCAAAATAACTGAATCTATATGGAAACAATCATATGAACTGTTTGTGTAGAGACATTTTTCATGCCATCGATATCAATCTGTTCTCATATTTTGAATGAAGCACATGTGATGATTTCTTTTTCGTTTCTTTAAAAATAGTCGTATAAAGGGAAGATGCTCCTTTGAATCTCCTGCAGGCCTCGCTTCTGAGCGTTCAGAAAAGATTTTATTGATTGGAGTTTCAACCTGTGTTCACATCACTAGTTCTCGCTTTACAAAAACAGTATCTCGCTTGACAATCTGCAATAAACTGTATTGCTTTCCAAGCTAAACTGTGAGAATGATCAATTCAAAGTAGTGTGTGTGTGTGTGTGTGTGTGTGTGTGTGTGTGTGTGTGTGTGTGTGTGTGTGTGTGTGTACACTGTCTTTCAGCATGTGGCTATGACAGTGAGGGAAGACACAAGAGACTGTTAAGTAATAGTCTTTGGGTTACAATGATGCAAACCCTTGAAACAGTATTTTCATTGTTTTAATTCATCTTGCTGTCTTAAGGACTCAAACTGAGGCACAAACAAACCTTGTAAAAGGCTAAATATTACTTGCTTGCTGCAGAATGGTATGAGCATGTCTCCTCACTTTAAGTAGCACCAAATCAATGTAGCCCTCATGGGGAGGATAGTGATTTTCATTACAGAAATGATCTCAAGTCAGTGTGTTAATTGAAAGGAAAAGACTGTAATATCTTAAACTGTTTTTGTTAATTAGATTAAAACCCACTGTGTAACTTTAAAGTTGTTGTTTTTTGCCTAAGCTGGCTCAATACTTCTGTATTTTCAAAGCCACCAAAAGTAAAGCGTGAACCTTTACAATGTTGATTTAAATTAGCTTGATTTAAATTATATATGGTATATGTTGTATATATAATCTTGCTTTGCTACATTTACATATATATTATTTAAAAAAATCCTGCACTATCCAAATGAAACAACACCAGCTAAGCGAGGACTCCTTACCCTCCCACTCAGGACGTCCCCTCAATCCTGCACATTACTCTCAGAATTGCTGCTCACTGAACAAATACTTTGAAAACAGAAGCAAATAATCCCCATTAAACTCTAACACACGTCATGATATAACTACCAAATATCCCTGGTCTTTACTCAGCAAAGTTACTCACGTCACTTTCTGTGAGGACATCGACATAAGCGAAAACGGAGCTCTACTGCGGATTCGGGTCTGTTCGCTCTAGATAGTGAAAACACCTGGCGTGAAGATTCCAGGTTGCAGTTCCTTGATAGGTCGACCCTGCAGTACCCACTACTCCGCGTCCCACTTCATTGCGCTCGCTCGATGTCAATCTCCCCTTCAGAACCCTCCCCCGAGATATCAAATAGGCCGCGTGGCTCTCCGAATCCCGCACTACTTGCCCAGACGGCATTCGCTCGATTCAAACACTGAGTGCGTCTCTGCTGCGGTGCGTTGCGCGCAGGCTGGAGAGAGATGACAAGAGCCCCGCGGAACTGGCCAGAGAAACATGGATCTCCGTAAAACGCTGATTTCGGTGCTTTGGATATTATTGCTGAACGAAGTGAAAGACTACAATGCAGAAGAAGGTATGTGAAAAAATTAACGGATCGGTTGTTCCCAAACTGGCTACGGCAGCCTTAATCAGGAGACAGATGTCCGCGGTAAAGATAGTTTGACATTTGCACTTATCCTGTGATGAGAAGCAGGTGCATGAGAGGAAATTAATGTTGGCGGACTTAGAAAACCGTCTTTTAATTAAAAACAAAAGAAAAACATTAGAGAGATAGATGGAGAGGCGGTGATTACCAGATAATGGAGCGATAGATGCGTTTGAAAAAGCTGTAGTGTGACAGAAAACGCATTTGTGCTGAATTCAAAGCGACGGCTCTCAAGCGTCCGGATAATAGATCAGATTTTTTAAATCTTTCAGTTTAACACAGACAAACACGTCACTTTAGTTTATTAGTTTGTCGCAAAACAAGCAAACAAAAACAACGGATTACTCTTTAACAGCAGTGCTACAGAGTTTAGATGGTAAACTTGATAAAAAAAAAATAGTGATGTGCACAAGTTTAAAGATTTTGCTGTAAAGGCACAAAGTGTAGACTATGCGCTGTGACAGATGTGTGATCCCACATAGAGCCGGTGCTTGCTTTAACATTTACTTTATGATTTATTCAGGAAGTGAGTTTGGTTCAGACAGCCGTCCTCGTTATGAAAAAGAAATCCTCGGGCTGTTGCCACAAAGATATGACTTGTACGGAAGGCTTTCGTCGCGGCATCTTTGTGCAACTGGTTTCTTTGTCTTTTCATACTCAGTCACTGAAGCTGTGACGCGGACCACGGGATGCATTATAAGATGTTGACTCAGTGCTTATCTGACTGTATGAATCTCCCCATTCAGCTCACTTTACCTTCTATTTTTCTTCATCAATTTTTAAATAGCGAGGCGGCGGCATTAATTCCTCTCTTTGGCTCTTCAGCGGCATTAAATGAAGTTATGAAACAGTGGTTATGCAGGAGAACAATGTGTGATTCAGTGGGGGATTATATATAGATTTAATGCTGATGTGGGATTAGGATGTGGATTGCTGGCTTGTTTAATTGCCCGTTTGCATCTGCACTGAGGTGTGCGAGAGAGCTGGGAAGGTACTGCTGTGGTCCAGTGATTTACCAGTACCCTGGCTGATTGCCACAGGTAAATACTTTCACCACCAGCAAGTTATCCAAGATATTGTAGACAAATTGCGATTTTAATCATTGAGCCTAACCCAAGCTGCTGAATGGACATGCATTTCTGGCTGCTGGTTCAGGTGTAAAGTCACTGTAAAACCACAAACAAACATGCAGCTGTAGTGTATAGTAACCAATGTGGACTCTGAGAAAAGTAGTCTACTTTTGGCACACTTGACACACTTTACACCCATACATCATTGACACGCATTATGCATTATACATTATACATATACACACATTAGAGCAGAACTGGCGCACATGCAGCCCACGGTCAAATGCACACACTCACTTGGCATGCACACGTTGCACCTGCATGCAGGCTTTCTAATGAAACATACACTTGTTCGCATGTACATGGTGTGGCATTTTTTTGGTACTAAAGGCCCCTTTTTGTGGGCACGCATGCAGAGACTCATTCACATATGAAAAGTCACATGCCCACATTTGTACTCTTCATTTACCCATACACACATTTCCTCTAGAGCATTGCCAGATTGATTTGGTTCTCTGGAATGCTGGGTAGCCGGATTTGGATGCTAGCTTTTGTTTAATTGATGTTGTGACAGCGATTAATTGCTGTGAAAGCAATGTGCTCCTGAAGGCTTGTATTGGCAGCAATTCTTCTCGCTGTTCGTAAGGATTTGAGAGATGGGGGAAAACACAGGGGAGATTTTTTTCCCTCCACTTTTTTCCCCCATTATATCCACATTAAATGAGGCAATTTACCCACCTGTCTACATGCATTCTGTTAGTTCTAACCAAGAAGCTCAGGCACACGACGGCCTTTTCAACAGAGAATTGCATTTGTGCGTTTAGGCATTTGAGATTTTGTATCTACTAATGCATTGCATTATATATATACATATATCTATATACACACACTCTTTGATTAGCATTCCTGATGATTCCCTTTTTTGGTCTGCCCTTGTGCCTATTCTAATCCTTCAGTAGCTGTTATTCCCAGTTCTATATATCATTTAGTATTTCTGTGCTCTTATTTCATTTCTCCTCGTGTGCCAGCAGCATTTTCCTGCCTCTTTAATGTGCAGCTAGATTCTTATGTTGTTGTTCCTTCCTTTAGCGCTCCCTCTATTTTCTTTCTTCCTGTTTTTCTTTGTTTCCCCCCGTCCTCTCACACATGACCCTCTTATTTCTCCTCTCTTTTGCTCCTCTTTTTTCCTCCATCTTCTTCCTGCTTGCGCATGTGCTCAACCTCTTTAGCTGACTTAGCAAACACTAATATGACCAGGGGGTTCCGACAGGCAGAGCCGGGTGTCCACCATCGTACTCTAGCGCATTACACACAGTCAATCTAGCCACTCCTCCTCCCTTCAGGTCTCTTTTCTCATTCCCCACACTTCACCGCTAACGCACCTTGGCATCTCATTGGGATCTCATTTACTTTCTCTCTCCTCCATCACTCCCTCCCTTTCTCCCTCTGCATCCATCCATCCTGTCCTAAGCTGAGAGAGGGAACAACCCTCATACAGAACAATAGAGACAGAGTGAGAGAAGAGTGGAGTGATTGAAAACGTGAGGTGGAAGAGTCTCAGAAACTGCAGCGTAACCTGTGAGTTTATCCTGTTTGTGGGACCGTAGCTTTGTTCACTTGCTCGCTGCATCAGAATGACTGTTGTGAACTGCCTGCACTATGCTCTTGGCAGACATGCAGCAGTCTATTGTTTACCTAGAGCCTTATTATACTGGCACTCTTCCCAAACTGGCATGCCATACCTAATTTCATATTTACAGGTACCATTATTTACCGTAATGCATTGTAAAACTGAAATATTAGTGATACAATTTTAGTATTTTTATGATCGAACATGTTTAATGATAGATCCACAATATCCATACATACCCAAAGTGCCTGTTTCATTATAATGCAGTGACTGACCCTTAGAACTGAGACTGAGCTGAACTATTTCTAATGGATTTCTTCAGAGACTTTAGACTTTTTTTAACAGTGGGGTTTTTACATGCTAGAAAGGTATAGCATTAAAACAGAAATAAGACTACATCTTGAATTCTGTGCCAGTGTACCTGTTGACCCTTTGACTGTGTAAAAGGTGCATTTGTGGACAGCTCAGCCAGTGATCCCAGACCTTAACCGGAATTGTGGTTCTTTCATGTTTTTATTTACCCCAGTTTGTGTCTGTATGCCCATGCATAAGTCAAGTCAGTAAGTTTTGGTATGAGAAAAACGCTCAGGCTAAAGCATTTTTCATCTTGCATAGTGACATCTTCACCTCTATTTGCATTGCCCAGGAAGAATTTGCTTCAACCTGCATATTTCCATTTATTTCGTCCGCAGCAGCACCGCTTTAAAAATCTACATTGTGTTTGGTCTGGAGTTTGACTTTACCACAAATAATGTGAGGCTTTTTATTTTCCCCAGAGCAATTATTGTGAGCATTTTAGACACATAAGCAACAGATAAACCGTAACATATGCACCTCATTCTTTAACCTTAATAAAATAGCCAATTTAACAGAAATACTGAAAATAAAATGTTGACAGTTAATCTTAGAAATGCTGAAATTATTTATTAATTATTATGGAATGTGTAAGATCCAGTGTTTTCACAATCACTGTTGCACCGATGTTGACCACAGATCTTTGATTTTAAGTGTTGTGCTAAAACACTGAAGCACTGGTTTAAGTAGGACAGGCAAATCTTGGATTAAAGTGTGTACATTGCCTGCCAATTACATAGATAACGTTTTATAATGCCAAAAAACAGCTTTATCTAGATACAGATACTTCTGTTGACTTGGAAGCAGTTTAATTCATCTATATATTTATTAAACTGTACTCCTATGTCATATCATCACTAAATCTTATAATTAGTGCTTAGAAGCAATCTGATTTACTAATATTGGGATCATCAGCTATTGCCAGACTGGCAAAGGGGTAGCTATCCACCCTCCCAGGCATCAGTTGGAGCTAATTGCCTGTGATTACTGCAAGGTTATTTCTGCTCTGCTGCCACGGCCCTGGACCGATGCACTAGACCATCTCGTTGGCTGGCAAGGACTGCTTTAGACCTGTGCATGTTAGATCAGATGACTCTGACCTCTGTGAGTATGAAAGGTCAGAGTGATTTGTGAAGATGGCAGGCGTAGCAGTGCAGCGCTCTCTTGTCAAGGCCTCGGGGACACTGTCATTTTCTGGAAAGACGAGACGAGGGCTGAGGCGGAAGGGAGGGTAGAGGCACAGGTGTGGTGAAATTAAAAGAGGGAGATGGTGGAGCCTCATCCCAAAAATTACGTGTTACAAGCAGAGAAAGGGGAGAGGCGGTGTCTTGAGTTCAAGACTAAGGACACAGGTAGGAGGGAGTGACAGAAAGAAAATTGGAGGGGAATAAAGGCGGTTGGAAGAGAGCTAGAGATGAGGGCCTTGTAAGCTGCCACCACTCATTGTTGTACAACACTTGTAAGTTTCATGTGATCAAACAGACTAAGAGTTAATATAAGAAGTCAATTCAGCAGCTCAGCCAGATTCGTATTTACCCCCCACTCCACGGGAATTGAAAGGCTGATGAATTACATGTGTAAGAGAGCGGATGTGTAATGTATGTGTATTGGATACCAGTAGGGGTCACCTACTTTTTTTTTTTTGGTCCAGTGTAGTGTAAAGAGACTACTATAGGATCTGGGCTATTCTGCTGGGTCCGCAAGAATGAGCTATCACTAGAGGGTGGGAGTGTGTGTATGGAAGAGAAAAAGAGCAATATTTGTGTGTGTTTAGAGGTAGGAGGGAACAATGGGGGTTTTAGCAGGTGTTTCAGCCATATTGGACAGTTACGAAGGGGCTTTGTGCAGCTGTCTATGATAGATGAAGGAAGTGC